ATTATACTACTTGGATGTCGGTCCCTAATTTCGTGAATCGTTTCTACTTTTCTCCTCGCTGCCATTCTTCACTCTATCATATTCGGCAAATTGCTAATTATAGAATTATTCATAAAAATATTACAGTGTACCGGAAATTTCTAAAAATATTGATATTTTATTAATTAATTAACAGACGCTTGAAACTTGACGAGTACGGCATACACGCGCACACACACGTATATTTTTAATATAATTTAGAACACATATCGCATACGTTATATTCTTCTACTTAGCCTTGTGTAGAAATGTACGGAAAAGGGATAGATTGTTTCGGAGAACTGATTGATGTAATTAGCACGGACTAATCGGAAACCGCGGAATTAATATGCAAGTTCAAGCACATAAACGCCGGCGAGGGGAGAGTGCAAGAGGGGCGGATGAATTTGGATGATAGAGAAAGAGAATGAAAAAGGTGGCGGGATAAGAGAGGTGGCTCTCCTCGTCTCTGAAAACTGGTCTGGTGCAGTTGCGGTCTTAGGAACAGAGGAGAGTCGAAGGAGCTGCATTCCCCGGTAATTAGTCTCACCCATAAATTACTGGCTATTTCGCGTCTGTGTTGGTCACGAGTCGGTAACACCCGTTCCACCCTCCCGCCCCGATACGTTCCAACTTCCCTTTCTTCTCTTCCTACACTTGTTCGTGGCGGTTGGTCACTCAAAATTTCTCCTTCGTGCAAATGACAGATGCGAGGTGCGAGAACACGAGGCCTTAGGATCCGCGAATAAGAACTGATCGTTACGTTGTTCCGCCAACATTCGCGCATACTTTGTGCTAATTATCCTTTACACCGAACCCTTCTTTAATGTATAATATATTTGCTAAGTACGGGTGGTTTCTCGGGCAAGAATTTACGTCGGTCAACGCACAATTGTACGTTTGTCGGTATCTCGGCAAGTTACATATCGTATGTTACCGCCGTATACAAATGAAGTATCTAAATACGAAGATATGTGCTACTTAGTGGCAGAAAGTTGTAAGTGCCAGGAGGTCCGATTCTATGGGAACGAAACGGGCTCATCTTTGCCGTAGGTCCGCGGACCTGTTCTGGACCAAGTGGATCTCTCGGGGCGCTGAAGAAAGGGGCACAGGACCCCGCTGCTAAATGAGCTGTAATACGGACCCCCGCTGAACTTCTCCTCTCCCCGTCTCGCCCTCCTTGAACCATACTTCCAGATATTCCCCCTCTCTTTCATCGCTGCTTAAAACCACTCACGCTGCTTGGGCCGCAGGTTATGATATGACCACACGAGACGACTTCTTCTGCTGTCGACTCTTCCTGCAATATTTTTGCTTCTCGGCTCTCCTTTATTTTTTCCTTCTTTCATCGCCGCTATTATCGCCCTCGTCTCTATCACTGAGATCCCATCAATGACTGCCCCATTCTTGGAGATTGCGCGCTCAGAAAGAGAAATCCTTGCGGAGGTAGTAGGCGGCGAGAAGAGAGGCGAAAGAGCATGAAAATATTAGCTTTCTTTAAGAAATCAATTAGTGGAAGGAAAATATTTATGAAAGATAGTTTGTTCGTTCACATTGAAATACTATTTATAAGTCTTTTGAACACAAGTTATTGCATACAACAGTTTTATGTTTTATTTGAGTAGCATTTGTTATTCCGATGTACTAATATCCCATTAAAGTCATAAAGTGTTATTACATCGTTATATTTTATTAGTAAAACAACGATAGTTCATTATGTAAAATATTAATACATAATATAACTGTTGTTGCAAATTTTTATGTATGTAACAATAATTATGTAATGACATTAGTTATTACTATTACACGATTAAATGTCTACTTTTTTTTTGTTAAACAGTAGAATCTAATGTAATTCTACATTATCGGCGATGCATTTTCTTCTGCGAACATATCGTTTCCGCCGTTGAGCAAACCAATTCGCAGTTTGTTGTCCCAACTATTATTCTGAGAAATAACGGGAAACAGTCGTGACATCGAGAGCCATTGCTCATAAAACTATTCGGTCAACGAAGCACTTGACCCGCGACTCAGCCGATCCAACAATTAGGCCAATTCCGATCAGCGCTGTAACCCGTACAATCGATGGCACGGAAACTCTAATTAAGGGATCTTAATTATAATTAAGCTCCTCTCGATCTTATTAGGCGCGCGCCAAGTTTGTCAAGATGGAGTCACCGTTTGTTTTCCAAAGGCCATATATTTCGATCTTGTCATGAATGAGGAACCGCGGGATTTGAGTCGGCGAGCTCTCGTAAACTCTTAACGATTCGAGCTATTAGCTGAATGTGATCATTATTGCGCGGACGCGAGGCTAGATGCATAGATTGTAAAATATCGTCATGTAACGCGGCAGTAAACATACTCCTGAGAGCTATAATTACCGTACGTTCCGCGTAATGACGACTGTTAAAAGGCTGAACGCTGCTACCGAAATAGAACGCTGTTAGCGGCAGAGGCTGCATCTATTACTAGGCCGTCTCTGGTGTAATAGAATTCGGAGCACCGATATATACACTCTCTGAAACGGCCAAGTGCTCGGAAACCGGTAAAGGCTGCGGCCGCGAGCGCTCGCGGCTTTGTCGTGGCGGCGGAGATGAAAAGGATGTAGCGAGCCACACGCCGACAGCTTAAGCCCTCAATAGCCCTCTACGATGGTGCCCGCAGCGTGTACCGAAGCCATGATATGGTGGGAGGAGGCGAGGTAGAAGGAGCAGGTCGCCGCGCCGCGCCGCTCGAGAGAAGGAAGAGAAAGAGGCGAGGGAGAGACGCGAAAGGAGACCAGTCGGGGCGAGGTGGCGGGTCGAAGGGAAACGAGGCATGAGACGGCTACCGAGCGGAGAGCTCGCCTTCACAAAGCATCAGAATGGGACTTACCGGGGCCCCGTTATTAGTCCTCACTCGCTTCGTACTTGTATTGGTAGGGCCACGAGGGGAGAGATCTCCCCCCCCCCCTCTCTCTCTCTCTCTCTCTCTCTCTCGCGTTTCGAGTCGCACACACGAGCCGCTGCCGTGAGTGTCCCGTCAAGGTGGACGGCGACACGGAAAATGTCAGGATCATCATCGATACCTGCTTTTCTCGTGGCGCTTCTCAACCTGAAAACTCATCATCCGGTAAAAGAGTTCTCTTTGTCACGCTACTATTGGCAAAGGGCGATGAGAAGCGGACGGGACAGCGACTCTCGTCGGCCGAGATTCACTTGACAGGGCGCAGCAAACTCCTTATTACGGAAATGAGAGGATAGGAGGGTGACGGAGGGATAAGAGTATACTCGAGCGTCGAATCGATCTCCGGATAATCTCTCGATGGGGTCCTTTATTTTCGAAGCGGTAAATCCGCTGTGGCCGCAGTCTCTCTCTCTTTCTCTCTCTCTCTCTCTTTTCAATTTCCCGCTTCAGTTTTATCGCGAGAATGATTCGATCACTCGCGACGAATAACGACGAGAGAGACACGCGATCTTTACTACTGGATTAAACTTATTGTGAAATAAATTCGCATTGTGCAAAGCATAATGTTACTACAAATAGTTTGAAGAATCGGCCATTGCAAAGATGTCGGCACCGAGTAATAAGTGAGGTATTTTAATTCCAACGGCAGTTCAGGATGAATCTCGTGATCCCACGACCCCGATTGTACCTCGCTTTATCGAAATTCAGTAGAGCGTCCTCCAGGAGTTTGAATCTCCTCACGCCCGATATATTTTACCGTGGCACAAAAATTTGCTACACGCACAGCACACGCTGGATCATTTTTTATTGTCCCAAAGGCCGAAGCTATCTCATTGCGACCTGTTAATGATTTCTGACCGCTATTATTCATCGCCCGGCATCGCGTCTATCACCTTGACATCGCGCGTTCGAGCCCGAGACGTGCCATGGTCGCGCCTCCCCCCGTGGGATCCTAGGCAGCGCGGCGCGAGCAGAGAGGATCCGAGGAGCCGGGCCTCCTCGTGTCGACGTTCCGTAGGCGAGTTAAAAGAGGAAAAGAGGGGCTCGGTTGCGTCCCGTTGCCGCCGAGCGGCGCTCACCTGCCTAGTCCGCAACAGTCTCGTACGGTTCGCTCCGGCCAGGAGCCTCGCCGGCGATCGCAGACAGACGGCTTGAACCTCGGGCCTGCCTCCCCTACCATCTGGATTTTTCCTCTTACGCTCAGACTTTCTCACAGGCTTTCCATCCTCCTTCCCCCCTCCTGCCTCCGTTATTTCCATCCTTCCGTCTCGGCTCCCTCTCGCTCTCCTCCCTCGCCTCCAATTTTGCGCGCGTTGCACGAAAACCGCGAGTCTGCGATCGATCGATTCATCGATCTACCTCAAGAGTCTTCAACGTCTTCGAAGGGGATGGCCTCTTTTCCGAGGATCGCGTTTCTCGCGACGGCCGAGTCGAGGACGCGCCCGTCGCGGGCGTCGGTGACGATGGTCTTGCGGCAGCGGCGGCGATGGTGATGGTTGTTGTGGTGGTGGTGCTGGTGCCGGTGAAGAAGAGGAAGAAGAAGAAGAAGAAGAAGAAGAAAACGGCGTATATTGGTGGGGGCAGCTCTTCTCTACTCCCCAGAACTGGTGGGGGTAAGGCAACACTCAAAGATCGTGGTGACGTAGTTCTGGCAGGAACGCGACGCGTTTTTGCCCACGTAGCGAGAAAAGAGAACTTTTCTACGTCCCGTCTGTACTGTACATAGTTGGTACTTTTGGGACAGAGGACGAGAAAGAGCGTGGCGGAAGTAGAGAGAAAGAGAAGGAGAGACGGTGGAGAAACGTCAGACACTTTGACAGACAGAGAGAGGGAAGAAGAGGGAGCCAGCTGGTGCGGGAGAAAGACAGAGGGTGGCTGGGGAGGGGGAAGAGAGGGGGCAAGTGGTCCAGGGGACCGGAAGTCACAGTGCTCCTCTTCCGGGTCTTTCTTGAATCGCGGGCCCCTTTTTCGCGATCTCGAAGACGTGTCTCCGATCGCCCCCCGAGCTGCTTTTAGCGCGATACCATCATGAGGATCAAGTGCTTACCGCGATCGTCACGGCTGCGTAATCCCGGTATCTTCGTCTCGCAAGCGGTGCCGAGGGACGCAACCTCAAGAATAATTCTCCGATAGACGCAACGATCGAGAGAACGAGGAGCTTCGCGGGAGTAGATCACCCTGCGAGCGATGACCATTGTTCTCCAACGTTTCCGTGTCGGTCCTGAGGAAGATCTGTTCCATCGAATCGCGGGAACGTCGTCGAGACAACGAAGGTTTCGAGAGGGACCACCTTGCGGACGATGATTTACGCTGCGATGTCGAAGTTTCGCTGGACCGCACGATAAGGGAGTCTACGCGCGGTAGAGGGGCAGTGCGTCGGTTCGCGTGTCAATTATTCGGTGCTACGAGGTGCGTTCGAAATCGAGGAACGCGTACTGGTGAACTCGCGGCTTCGCGGTCGACTCTCGTCTTTCGGAGCCGGACGCCGGTGAGCTCGCGGACACGCCGTCTCGCTGTCTCCATCGAGCCGTCAGTGCGCAGAGCAGACAAAGGAAACGTAATCGGTAATCGGCTCGAGGGTGTTATCAGGTGCGGAGGGGATGGAGATGCGCCCCGTTCTCGTGGCGATCTGCCTCCTCCTCGTCACCCCCATCACCGGCTCTTTCTGGTGAGTGACACGCATTTCCCTCCGCTTTCTTTCTTTGCGCTGGTTCCTGGTGAAAACGCCAATTATTTTATCTTTGCAAGACCATCCATCTATACTGGATTTATATCAAGTTTGTAGCAGGATGTACAAATCAAACAGAGTGTTTATTAGAAGAAAAAGTGACTGATTCGAAAGCTTCAATGATTCGATTCGATTCTAATTCGAAGCGATTCGCACACCTCTACTTTTTTAATTTAATTTAATGCAAATTTAATTGCATTTTTATTATTATTATGCGTGTGTGTGTATGTGTACGTACGTATATACAACGAGAACGCCGTACCTAGCGAATAGACCTTCGCGAGATCTTAGATAGCAAAATTCGAAACGTGATAGAACATTTCTCGCTCTACTATTTTGAATGCGATTATCTTAACATGATTATCTTAACTGGCAGCAACGGTTGTCTCCGCGACAGGAATAACAACGCGTTTTCGTTTCCCTCGTCGAAGTCTCCTCCAAAAAATGAGATAAAGTGAGAACAGCTTGTCATGTCCTTGGCGCCATAAAGAACGTGGGTTAACAAAAGATTAGTCATACGCCTGGCACAGTAGCTTATCCCGCTTGCGCGTTTAACTAGAAAAATGGAAGACAAACACTTGTTCATTATACGCAGCTAAGCCTTCTTATCCTGATGATCCCCCTGGCAAGTTATCGTCCTTGTGTTTAACGTCAGCACTGATTGCTGTATTCTTGCTCGCGTACTTGTGTCTCCGATCTCGGCGCAAGTGCTGCCACGATATTGTTACCGTTTACGTGGATACGAGATTGCCGCGTTGGTTGCATTTTAACGCCAATACTTGGTGAACGGGAGGAACTAACGAGTGCTCCAGTTTCGAGGCGCGTCATCTGGGTTATCAATTATGTGCGTTGCGCGTTACGCGCCCGTAAGATGAGTAATGGCGCTATAAATCCTCCTTTGGTAGTTATCCGTGCTCTTATAAGCAAATTCCGTCTCGAGATTTATGACTTTATTTTGCGCCACCTAAATCGCCCATTATTGACGACGCAAACGCGGCTTCGCTAAATATCTCCTTATTTCTGACCGCGGCTGCACTCGTTTCGTCTCACGCCCGCATCAAGCCACTCTATTTCAGCTTAATAGTTAAATTGCGACGATTACGTCCGTTGGCCAAGGAGACTCCCGAAATATCGAACGTCGCAATTATCGCAACGCGAAATCACGCGACACAGTAGCTACCGTTGAATCCAAATTATCTCGACGAGTAACAATAAATTACTCAGTGGAGCGACATTTTATTGTGTACTTCACTTTGTTACGCAAATGTTTGTACGATGATAGTGCGTTATCGTGCCCGTGCCACTCGGGATTACAGCATCCGGAGACGGACTATGTCGTACCTATCTAGTGTCAACTTCGTGCATATTGCACATATCAACATGGTGTGAAACCTATCACACAATGCCAGGCAACAGGCAATAGGAATAGGGAATAGAATCTTTGACGCGTTGGATTCGTCGGAAATTTTCTTCCAACCAATCCAACGCGTCAGAAATTCTATTCCCTGTTCCTGTTGCCTGGCATTGTGTGATAGGCTTAAGTGATTCGATTACATGTGGGAACATCAGTTAATTACCACATTAAGAGTGATTATTAAATGGAACCGTATATTATCAATTTTGATTAGCTAATTTGGGGGGAGGGGATTGATGAATGAAACGTTTTCTCGGGTGTTCATTTATGATCGGGCAAGTTTAGCGGTGTCAGAAGAAAGCTTGCTCGCGCGGGAACGAGGATGGAGTCCCTCTCGAGACTGGTTAAATATTTGTTTCCGATTTAAGATGGATTTCTGCATCCTGACGAGCTCCGTGAGTCCGCACCTTGTTGCTTTCTGGCTCGCTTACCTGTCGCAGCCGTCGTTCACGGCGTGTTTGATAAATATATTAGGAGGATGACGGTTTGTGTTTTTGATAACAGGTACTTAACGGCCAGACTGGAACTCTCCGCTCTTTCTTTCTGCGCGCTTCGTCCATCATCCGCGAGCTAATCTGCGGCCAATATCGCGCATGAAGACACATGTCGCACCGTTTCATCCGTTTCAGTAGTTATCGCGGCGCATACCACGGCCACAAAATTCAATCTATACCTTAATCTTATAAATCTATTAGAGTAAGTTCATACCGTACGAGTTTCTTAATTGCAAAATTGTCTAGAAGTTGAAAGGTCGAGACCCGGTTGCACCAACATCACGTAACTTTTAACTTCAGCTTAATTCACTCTTCGTCTCTTTCTAACTGTTTCTCTTAGAACGAGACAAAGGTATTCTGTATCCTCTTTCATCGGTAAAAGTGCCCGTAAGAGATTCTATCAGTCAATAAAAATTCCTCAAGACCAATTTTAGTGGCACTTGTAGCGAAAAGAAGATTCAGAATATGAACCAAAGAATGAATTGAGTTAAGGTTATAGTTAAGCGACGTTGGTGCGACAAGGCCTGAATCCTCCGAGGGTTGAATCGCTGATCAATCATGTACAACAATGCCTGCTAATGCCCAGTGGACATTTCTTTATCTTGTTATCTTATTTTATCTTTTTACCTTTTATATAATCTTTCTAGATTATTTATAATGGCAAGGCTTCGGGCAAGGCCAAATATACTAATGACCCAAAAAATGCCTGATGATGTCTACACGGAAAGACCGGGTAAGGCAAAAATAACTAAAATTAAAACGTTGCCGTATAAATAGTAGGGGCACCGACATTGTTTTGCGTTGTAACATTTACTAAGTTTGCTGCGCAAAACGCATATAGTTGTCTCCATTACTTATGCCAATGTGGGTATGACAACCACAGATATAGCTGTCCCAAATGTTACTATTTATTGCGGCTGTGCCAACCCTAATTAGACATGTGATCCATATCGGTCTCTCCGTGTAGCGATGCCCAAAATCTGTGCGGTTTACTCCTCGGACTCCTCTATCGCGATATTTTGATATTATTAAAAACCGTGTACTTATTGAATAGTACGATGGCAAGTATCGCGGCGCAGTGTATAAATTCCTTGTCATTTCGCGTGAGAACGTTGATTGATCAACACGCGTTGTTTTGACGTGCATTTTTATCGGTGCATCAAGCGGTATTAGCTTTCTGAAATTCTTAAAATTCCTTAAATTAGAGTCCGGAGACTTATAAATGTTTCTGCCGAGCCGGCGAAACGTCATCTCTGCGATCCTCATTCCTGCGGAATGTTACCCTTGCTCCGAAAATATTGCGCGCGCCATAAATCAGTCGCTCGTCCGATCGTTCGTCATCGAGTCGCGCATTACGTCCTTCTCGCGGGTCTTCCTAGGGCCCGCGAGGACCCGGGGCTCCGATTATCCGATTGGAACCGGATTCCCTTTCGTCGATCGGCATTCCTCGGTTTTTTCGCGACGAATACTGCTCTATCTCCCTCTCGTTCCCTTCTGCTCGCGCGCCGCCGCGTCCCTCCGTCCTTCTCGCGCGGTCCTCTGGGAACGAAGGGACTCACGGAGGAACCGAAAGAGGATGGGCGATTCACGAAGGGACAAAGACGACCGAGTGAAGGAGTAAAGAGGTAAAGAAGTGAGCGAGGATGGACAATGGTCTCGCTCAAAGCGTCACCCGTAAATCTCGTTGAGCGCGTATAATTTGTAAGTCGGCAGGAGCTGCCCCCTCGCCCTCTTCGTCCTCCGTCGTCCTCGTCGTCCTCCGGCAGCCGCGTTGCCTGCGTCTCTCAGGATATACGCGGAGTTCGTTCCACGTTTCTACGTAGCAATCGTATGTCCTGGGCGACTCTTCGTGCATTTCTTCGAAGTGCTACACGTTAAACGCGATAATACCGTTGGGTTTTGTATCGGTACGCTGCAGAGGAACGATACGCTTTGCCGTGGAACTGTCGCTAGTACCTCTTATCTTCTATTTCCCACAGCGAAAAATGCAAATCCAAGATTAAACTTTATTGAGTAGGACCCGAGGGTGTAAATCGCTAAGGGCATTGTGGTATATACATATATGTTCGACATAACATTTTTGGGCGTTAGTTTGGGTATTGGGCCTTGTTGGGGCATTGCTTGTAAAGATGAAATAAGATAAAACAAAATAAATAAGGCAAAATAAGATAAAGAAACGCCTACTGTGCATTAGGAGGCATTGTTGTGCATGACAGAATCAGTAGATGGTTTCGGAGACAAGTTATGTTCGATGGATTATTTACAATAATTGAAAAAAAAAAGATACAGTGTTTAGTATGAAAAGTTGCACAAATTGATCGCGTTAAAACAATGTTTTTAATGAGAGATCTCTATCTTTCAATTGCATTTTCCGATCAATAGTAGTTTCCAGACACATTGCTCATTTGGCGCGACGATTGCGTAGTTTATCGTTATAGTTTCGCGATTTTTCCTCGCCGCTAATCTACGATCTCCGCGCGAGTCTGCGCTAAATTTTTAGCGGGGCTTCCCGTGAAATTACCGTGATTACCAATTACGCCACGGACCATTCTGATTTTCATACGAGGTGGGCGTCGCGCGTTTCGCATTAATGAGCATCCCGCGCGCGCTTTCACGCGCCACGCCGCGCGGGCCGTTTCGTCTCCGCGAGCGGCGCGATCGTGCGGCGGATAGTCGCGCGCGATCGATCGCAGGTGCGTGGCACGCAGACAGGTCCGAGGTACGCGCGCGATAGATCGGTCGGCCGCCGTTGTATCGTAACGGAGAGCCTCGGCGATAATACGATAGCGGGCTCGCGAACCCGGCCAATAGGCCGCGGTGGGCAGTCCACGGCTACCATCCTGCTGGTTGGACAACCCGATCCGCTCCCCCACGCTCTCACCTGGACCATTCTCTCGTTCTCTCTCACCTGCTGTATATTCATAATCATAAGATCGCGCTCGCCGCGCGCGCGAGCACGCATGCGCTTAGATCGCGTATGCATCGGCGATCGGACTCGTGAGCTGCACTCAAGAGAGTATTTTCTCTTTACA